GTCCACAGAGGAAGTAAAACATTTATTCTGAAAAGCTGACAGCTCATTAAAACTACTTCATGAAGAGAAAACGTTTTTTTTTCCCGCTGAACCTCTAACATTTAATGAGACACACACACACACACACACTCACGCACACACTGAGAGCTCCGTTCCTCTAGTACCAGTGAAACCATCATCACATTAGGCTCCTATAGAATTTCTCTTTTCTCTAAAACCAACGTCCAGAGAGAAAACCAGTTACGCTAACAGGGACACAGAGCCTTTTGCCCACTGCTGCCTCCTGTGGTCATTTTGAGTGAGTATTTCAAACAGTCAAATCACAAAAGAATACGTTGAATTATACTTAGTGATGGAGGTTTAGGCTGAACCCACTGACTTCCTTCATGGCCTTTGGGCTGAGGTCAAAGGGCGGTCTTTGACGTGCGTCTCTCGTCCACAGTGCACCGTGTGGGACTGGGACTCCAACGGCAAACACGACTACATCGGTGAATTTGAAGCAACGTTCAAAGAGATGAGAGGAGCCATTGATGGGAGGCAGGTGGGTTTCTATGACAACCGTTCACTGTCAGTGTGTGTGTGTGTGTGTGTGTGTGTGTGAAAATGCGTGCTGTTGTCTAACATTCCTATGTTTTTGTTTGTGACCTAAAGGACATTCCGTTAATGACGACACCAGGTTGTTCAGAATCTCACTCTTCGTTCAGATGTTGTGTTGGTCGCCGTGTGCTTGTCGTCAGGTGTTGTCATGTCAACTGTTGTCGTGTCAACTGTTGTTGTGTCAACTGTTGTCGTGTCAACTGTTGTCGTGTAAATATTGTTTTTTTTTGTGGGGTGTTGTTTACTGTTCACTGTTGTAAGGATGTCAGCGTGTACTGGTTGTTGTGTTGCTGTTGTGTAGTTTTTCTGTGGTTGTCTGCTGCAAGGGAACCACTGATTTACTCTCTCTCTCTCTCACACACACACACACACACCTTATGTGTAAGTTCAGTGGAGATAGTCCTTCACTCTTGGCCTGGTTCCTGCTCTGACAGTGGGTGGATCACTGGTTCTCCTCAATCCTCTGGAGATCTTCGTCTCTGCTCCAGGACTGTGCAATGAATCATGTTCTGTTCCTCCTTGAACTCGTCTGGTTCCTGCTGCTGTGACCTGAGCACGTCCCCCCCCCCCCCCCCCGACCCCCCCCACTCTTAGACAGACTCAACAACTCACTTCCTTTCACTGAAACACGTAGATAAAATCAGCGCTTGTACCTCACAGAGACACAGCAGTGGTTGATCCTCCGCTGCTTTTACATCCGTGTCTAAAATTAGCTTTACCTCAGTGACATAAACCGACCACAGGAGGCAGCAGTGGACCAGCAGCAGCTCCCTTTGTCCCTGTGACCTAACAGCACTGATTTTCTCTACCAACTGTGGTATAAGGAAGGGGGCAGTTCATAAAAATCAGTTCTGTTTGAATACAACATTTCTATTTATCTCAGGAACACAATTCTGACTCCACCCAAATCAACGATCCTCTCTGGAGGAGTTGGTTATGAGGTAATTGAAGTAATGCAACCGTTGATCCCTGCGGTACTCCATTATTAGTTTCATTAGAACACAGAAGATGGTTTACGCATTATAGCACACGTGTCAAACTCAGGTCCGGGGGCCAAATGTGGCCCGCAGTGTAATTATATTTGGCCGTTAAATCATATCAAATGTGGCCTGCCAGTATACAGATCCTTTACACTGGCAGGATTTGTAGTATTGAATTTCTTATGTCTTTATAATATTAAGATTCGGTTGTTCCAGATTCAACAACACGAACATTTACAGTCAATTTTTCAATGAATATTAAATTTGGCCGAGACTTTGTCCCAGTTTTTAATTTTGGCCCTCTGTGAATTTGAGTTTGACACCGTGGCATTAGAGTCTACTTTGTCTTTATGTTTCACTGGTATGTTAGAGCTCCCCCTGCAGCCGGAGGGTAATCATACATGTGTGTGTGTTGCAGGTGCAGTGGCCCTGTATGAACTCAAAATACAAAGTGAAGAAGAAAAACTACAAGAACTCTGGGATCGTCATCCTGAACCAGTGCAAGGTGACGATGGTCCAAAAGAGCAGAAGACGTTGAACACAAATATCTAAACGTTTTACAATTAGTTCTCTAACATCTGCTGACCTTTTGACCTCCCCTACCAACTCAGGTTCACTAAAACCTGCTTTGGTTCAGGTGTTTAACTTTCAGCAGAGACATGGAGCATCAGCGTCTGACAGTGACATCACTTCCTGTGATGGATGAGTCGGATGCTAATGAGCGCTCTGACCTCCTTACATCACAGTATTTGATGACGAGCCGACGCGGGGGGGGGGGGGGCGGGGGGCGGGGG